ATGACAATTATCGACATGATGCTATGTTTGATGACCGCAGGGTTCCTGGGAGACAAGAACTCGTGTCGGTAAGGCGCATCCATGTTTCCCAGGAAAGCGGGATGGAGTCGCGCAGCCTGGGTACCGCTACGTGCCACGGGCATGAAACATTGGTAGACGACAAAGTCACTGGATACCGCCGTCACCCATGCCCTTCTCTGGATGGCAGCCCTTGGCAAAAAGTTTTGGGTTCATCGGGGCTGGTGAACGCAAGCCGGGGTTGCACCGCCTCCCAAATTTCTTTTTAAAGATTTTGACTATCTCCACGACAAGGATGGTGCACACCGTAAAGGAGCCAATCATGTGCTGCGCCCGGGGGTCTTGGAGGGGAGAGCCACCACCATTCCTCTTTGGGCTTCATGTCTCGACGGACGCTGTTGGAGTGTGTGACGGCCCCGGCCACTAGCCCATGACGCGAGATGCTCGAGGCTGTAAGGTAGCGTGCGGGTTCTCGTCAAACGAAACGGCCTCTCGACGCGGTTACGTCTGGATTCGAATGAGATTGCGAGCCAAAAGGACTCTGCTTTCGACAGTGTCACTCCCCGGGAACCAGGGACCACGCGAGAACCATTATCGCGAAGTCTTGGCCGCCGCTGAGAGACACACCCGCTGCTATTTGTCTGGCCCATGCGGCAACGGCCGTAATGTCGAGCAGGCTAGCGGGATATTCCAATATTCATCCATCACTCCAGAGTCCAGCATGGTGCCTCGTACGACGATGGGCAATATTACTTTCCAGGCGCGGTCTTGTTCGAAAGGCACGATGCCACCTAGCAGCCGTCTTTCAACGACTCTGTGCTGCAGCCCTGGTCTGCCTCGTGCCTGAGACGAGCGAATGAGCAGGTGGTCACGAGGGACCGCCTCAAATGGCTGGAACAACAGCAACATGCGGCTATCTAGAAGCCAGACTGTGAGCCACAATGGAAGGAGACGCAAATGGAAAGTATGGTGAAGCTTCGAGCTTGCGACTAGCTCGGTGTCTCACGACGCTTGGTGGCAGCAGAGAGTGAAGACTAAGAGAAGCATCCAATGTCCACCACCAGCACAATCCGGGACCCGTCGGCCGCACATACGTTTCCCAAGGGGCCGGTTGCACCAAGATCAAGTCTCGGACGGGGCCACGAGCCATTGCGGCCATCGACTGGACGAAATACGCCTCCAGAGAGCGGTGCCGTGTTGCGCAGGCCTAGCGCGTTGGTGCTATCACCGATTGACTCTGGAACCTTTCCAACGTCTGAACCCTGACCAAGCCAACCAACCCAGCGAGCCGGATTGGCATGGCATCACAGACAAGAGACTCAGTTGCTGTTGACTGGCTCAACTCTATTCGGGAGCCGTGGCCATGGGCTCTCGGCCACGACGTTCTGTATAGAACCACTGCCTGTGTCTACGGACTGAGATGCTCGATGCAGACCTTGGGCTGGCCGCTCGCTGTCTCTGCCAGTCGCACATGTGCGATGCAAGCTTCCTCGCTCACCCAGGCGTTTAGGGTTCGATAGAATCTGAGTTGGCATGTTGCTGCCGTCTCGGGACGCGGCGATGCGAACAAGATGCTGACACGCAGCGTCATCCAACCCGGAAGGGAGGGCCAGAGACGTTTATTGGCCGGCGAGATTAACAGAGGCAGACAGACTGATGCGCAGAATCTCTCCGTCCGTACAGCGACCCAATGCCCTCGCGAGGAAGCACAGCCAGAATTGTGCTCTCTGCGAAGACTGGTAAGTGGGAAGCTAGGGCAGACGGATAAGGCCGGGCTGTGCACACCAACATCTCGGCGGCGGCCGTGGCTCTTGCACTTGGGTGCTGCCATAATCTGCCGGCGTGGGGAGAGAAGGGGTTACGGTGATTGGGCCGCCCCAGGTTGCTAAATCGCGATGAGAGCGCAGCACAGCACAAGCGCAGTCAATGTGCAGTGTGTGTGTGTGTGTGTGTGTGTGTGTGTGTGTGTGTGTGTGTGAATAAAAATATCCCCCTGGGACTGCAGCAGTAAGCAACGCAACCTTTACCGCCGTGCCGCCAGAGCCTCCACAAAGCCGAATGCTTGGTTCTTCCTATTTCACATGACGAACCACTTTCGGAGAGGTTTATGCCTTTTTGAGGACGACGCACGCAGCAACCAGTTCAGAATAGGACCTCTACGAATACACACACTCACACCAGCCGCGCGACTGTCCATTGGCGCTAGCAAGAATCTGGTCATCTTTATCGAAAGGGGGGCTGTGGTTGTTGAACGCAAGCTTCCTGGAGAGCATCATCATCCCATCGCATCATGCAGAAGACGGACGACCTATGTGCCTGCCTCATGCCCAATATTCTGGGTTTTCTTTTTTTTGGCGCTCACGTTGCTTTACCGCTATCATAATAGCATATGCAGGACATCGCGTGTCCCGCGTCGGTCCTGGAAATTTACGACTGGGTTTTACGAGGCCGTCGATGCGAGGAGTCGAAAAAAAAGGACAGGAAAAAGAAAGTTTCGATTAGGCAGGACTCCAGGCGGCAGAATTTTGGCCCTGGGGCAGACCCGTCCACAATGCTACCTGCACGTTGGCGAGTGAAGATCCAATATAGCACGTTGCTGATGAGCGGAAAGCCAAGAAACATCCAGGAGTAGGCGCAAACGGCAAGTCTCTGGTCTGCCGGTGCTGTGCCGTGCCGTGCAAAGGAGAGCGACTGGTTTCGGCGACATTGTCACGGATTACGGGCTTGATAGGCTTCATCACCACCACGGCATCCAATCCAATCCCATCCCTCACAAACTCAGAGCAGGCTCGGCATCCCGCGGCGGAGAGCGACGTGCCGGGCCTCCATCTGACTGGCGGGGATCCCTCTAAGGTGCACACAGAACCGCAGATGAAGAAGACACTGGTCCAGCAGGGCCCTGTGCAAGTCAAGTCAGGTCGCCATTCGGCCATTCGGGCAAGGTTTGTACAGTATTTTTCGCTCATTTGGCCCTCCTCCCCTCCCTGCTGGAGGTCCTGTCCTCGCACTCAGTGCAGGGCCTGCCCCGCCAGGGGCCTCACGCCAAAAGAGAGAGAGAGAGCGAGCGAGCGAGACAAGGGTCTGGACACAACTTGCCTACTTTGGAGCCACCCACCTGCACCCACCAGCCAAAGTATCCTGTACCAGGCTTATTTGTGCCAGGGGCGTCCAAAGGCCCAAGCTGCCGGGGTCTGGCGGGCCTCGCTGGCTGTCGTCCAAGGGGCGGTTGGGACCTGTTGTGCTGGGTGGTAGTGGGCGTGTGGCCTGTTAGTGGGAGGCCACCAGCCAGCCATGCGAGGTATCGAGAACCGCTGACCGCCGTGCGGAACCAGGAAACTGGACGACTCGCTTTCCGGGCCCAGTTGGCACTTGAAGGGTTCCTTTTCTCTGGGCTACTTGCTGTCTGTCTCTGTCGCACACCACCGCGGCAGACGGGTCAGAGGCACGACGGATAGAAATGAGGGACCGGTTCAGAGACAGATCTTGGTATCCCGCATCGCTGGCAGAGACAACGAGCAGCAGGAATGCATGTTGCAGGCAACCCGCACGCCCTTCCCTGGAAGACAGACAGTACATAATCGAAGACCGAGTCTGGAATGGGAGCTGTTTCGTGGCTCTGGTACCCGGCGTCGTTGCCAGTACCCGACCAAGTCGAGCCGGACTAGGCCCATTTTCGTGCGTATCTGGGTGCTAAATGAGGTGTCCATGAAGCAGAGCGACCAAGATATCAAAGTAGACGAAGACAGGGTCTGAGGAGGACGGGCGGGCAGGAACAACAAGAACGAACCACGAAAAAGCCACCACTATCCTCACCCGCACCCGCACGTCCAGTGCACACCCATGTCGACAACACACACACGCGCACACCCACCTCAGTCTCTGTGCCTCTCTCGCACCCCCCCTTGCCAATCCACACACACACACACACACACACACACACACCCCATCCCTGACCCCTGCTGCTTGTACCGCCTCTCTCGCTGCTGGTGCCGCTGTTTTCCTGCTTGTTGCTCTGCCCTACGACTCCCTAGTGCAGGCCCTCCTCCCTCCGCCCCCTGGACGCCGGTCCCTCGCCAACTTCGACCTGGGTAGAGGTACTGCGTGGAGGGGAGGGCGATCCGCGTCCACCGGGTCCCAAGTCAAGTCCCCAAGTCTCCTCAAGGGCCATCAACAAGCAAGCCGTGGCTGTCGTCGACCCATGTGCCCCCCGGTCTGCAAGTTGTGCGTATGTCTCTCTCTGTGCCCTCTGTCGATACCAGGCGTGGCTTCGTGGCCGGTCTATATCAGTCGTGGGCCCCCAAGGCCTCTCCAAGATCGTTTCCCGCCCCCATCGGTCTTCATCTCTACAAGTCCCAGATCTTCGGTTCAAAAAAGCCTCAAAGCCAACGACAATCCCGTCTCTCACAGCTTGACAAGACGTACAACATCACTGTCCACTCTCGCTCCAAGACAGCAACAGCAACAGCAGCATCACCAAGGAGAGGCCGGGCACACAGCATCGTCCATCACGCGGGAGCCAACTCGACCAAGAGCGTTATTAGACCAACCGGCTGCCTCACTGTGCCGTCTACAACACTTCTTCTCTGCACCTTGAAACCAACAAACATCATCGAGCTCTTCTGCCACTTACACGACTCTCCCGTTCGCGGCATCGGTACCTCACACGCGGAAACGCCGCGGGCATGAACATCGCTGCAGGTGCGCTCCCTCGGCCCCACTTGAAAGCAGGCGCAGCAGCACAGCACAGCACAGCGCAGCGCGCAGCACCCTCAACTCAGTGTTCGTTCAGTGTCAACTAACAAGAGGGCGAGCAGCAGAGTGACGTGACGGCATAACTCACTGTGTGGCTTTGCTTCGGCCAACGCGACAACACCTCGAACCCAACCACCGACCAACAACTCTATAAACAACACCAGCAGTCAGTCTGCGGACTTGACCGGCCACTCACAGCTCCAACAACAAAACCGACTTCATCCGCAACAATGGTCTCGATAGATCAGTCATATAACATGCTCCCCAAGCACCTGAGCTCCGAGCACGACGACTACATCCTCTACCCCGAGCCGCCCCAAGCAGTCTTCACCACCGCCCCCATGGAGATGACCATCCCTGCCAACGCCTCTTACATGTTCCCTACCTCCTTGCCCATGGAGGCTTCTCCCGTCTACGAAAACAACTTCATCTACCAGGGACGCACCTCACCGAGCCTCTACGAGGACGGCGACTTCCAATTGCCCTCCTCCAACCTCTCCACCACATCGGCGCCCTCGGCGGCCTCATCCAACGTGGGCTCGCCGCAGTCACATCACGACCAGCCGGCGCCGGTGCCTGAATGGGCGCACCCCGGCATCGCTGTCACCCCGGGCATTGTGCCCCACGACTACTACAACACCACGGGTACTGAGTACTCTACCTACGCCGGCTCAGGTATGGAAGACTTTGCAGCTTTCGACTTTGTCAACACAAAGCCCCCGGGTTTCGTGGGTGAGTTGCAGAACGTCTCTAGAACCTCTCATTTCGCAGCCCCTCACCGGGTTTCCTTTTCTCCTTCGTCTTCTCCTTCTGCTGCTTCTGCTCGCGAGGCCGCCGCCGCTTGTCCACTGCGTGAGCCCGCCCTCATCTTGGACACCCGGCTGTCTTCGTCGCCCGAGTCTCCCGCGTCGCGCAAGTCCAGCGCGACCGCGGCCTTTGCGTCTCCCTCTACTTCTTTCTCTTCTCCTCCAGCGCCGGCTTGGAGCAATTCGCCAAAGACGCCGCGCGTTTCTACTTTTTTTTCTCAGAGCAGTGGCCACTTCGTCGCCCCTCTTGGTTCTTCTTGTTGGTTTTCCTCTGTCAAACCGCGCCATCCCTGCCGACGACTCAGTGCTAACCAGCCATTTCCCTTCAGACCCTTCCCTCATCCACCCCGACATCAGCCGCCCAATGCCGATGCCGGGTTTTGATCCCAACTTCCACCACCCTCAGTATCCCGCATCGCCCGCCCTGTCCGCTTCGTCCCAATCCATGGTCCGCAACGGCAGCCAATCGCCTTTCATGCACAGCGGCTTCCAGCAGCAGTTCAGCCCCTACGCCACACCGGCCCACGCCCGCCGCCCCAGCCTCCACTCGTTCCCCTCCAACTATTCCGATGGCAACGGCTACAGCGGCGACGAGTCCAAGGAGAAGCAACGATGCCCGCACCCCGAGTGCGGCAAGACCTTCAAGGACCTGAAGGCGCACATGCTTACCCACCAGAATGAGCGCCCGGAGAAGTGCCCGATCGTGACGTGCGATTATCACGTCAAGGGCTTCGCCCGCAAGTACGACAAGAACCGCCACACCCTTACCCACTACAAGGGCACAATGGTGTGCGGCTTCTGCCCCGGGTCGGGGTCCGCGGCCGAGAAGTCGTTCAACCGCGCCGACGTCTTCAAGCGCCACCTGACGGCCGTCCACGGCGTCGAGCAGACACCGCCCAACAGCCGCAAGAAGAGCACGGCCGCCAGCAGCGGCAAGAAGCTCGCCGGCTACCCTCCCGACGCCACCGGCAAGTGCTCGACCTGCTCGCAGACCTTCTCCAACGCCCAAGACTTTTACGAGCACTTGGACGACTGCGTGCTGCGCATCGTGCAGCAGGAGGACCCCGCCGAGGCCATCAACGCCAAGCGCCTCGCCGAGGTCGAGAACGACAAGGACGTGCACCAGACGCTGGAGAAGAACCACCTCCCCACGCAGACGCAGATGCCGTCCACCGAGGAGGACGAAGACGAGGACATGGACGATGAGGACGACGAGGACAGCAAGCACCGCTTCAACTCGCCAACGAAGCGGAAGGGCAACCCCGTCAACGGCGTCCAAAAGTCGCGCGGCCTCACCCACTCCCGCGGCGGCGGCCCCATGCCCGTCAAGGCCAAGGGGCGCAAGAACCGCCGCGACTACCCCTCGTCGTGGGGCTTCGACAAGGGCCAGATGACGATGAAGAAGCGTGTCATGGCCGTCTTTGACGGCCCCCGCCGCCTGGCCAAGGACGACATGATGCTCTCCACGGACCACGAGGTGCGCATCAAGCTGGCGGACGGCAACAACTACGTGACGGACCTGGACGTGCAGACGCTCAAGCGCGCCGAGGGCTTCCTCGGAGCAACTGACGACGAGAAGGGTCCGTGGATCTCTGACGACCCCACCGAGGAGCAGCTCAGGGAGATGCAGGCTGTTCTTGAGAGCTTTGAGCAGTAATGGAAGGCGGCGGAGGCATTGAAGTCATCAATATTTGCTTGGCATGCGGTACTATATCACGGAGCGGGAGGGCGGCGGAGGAATCTGTTAGAAGCATGGCTGGCGCACGCTTGTATGGATTTGCGACTGGATTACGAAGAGGAAATCTGGTATGAGGACTCATGATTGGATGGCTTGGTTTATACCGCAAAAGGTGCTTTGGTTGATACCCTAACTCTCAAGAATTCTTGTCTCGATCAAGACAATCTTTTCATCATCACTATGCATTCTCGTCGCCATTGGAGTGAAGTTTGTCTACTGCTGCCACTTGGGGAGGACCGACGACCGGCGGCCTACGGACATGGTGATGGACATGATGCCGCGGACCCTGGCGACGAACCCTGGCGACGAACCATGACCCCATTTGGGCATGTAGACGACGGCCGTATCCTCAATGCAATAAACCAGCGCCAGGCAGCCATGATACCTGAAACATTCGACCCGCACGCTGCCCTGGTCGGCAGCCAGGTCACGGGGATGTATTCGTGGTTGGGACAGGTCTGGCCCTGGCGTCGGAGAGGAAACGCGAGACCGGGGCAGGGGAGATGGGAATGACTTCATCAAGCCGAATTGTGGTCGGGATCTGGGCTGGACTCGGGAGGGAGGCCTGTGAAGATGACCCGTCGGGTCCAAGATCGAAAATAGCCCACCAATGCATGCGCAGTGAGGTATCCAATGTTTTTTTTGTGGTGGATGGTGGGTGGCAGCAGGCACAGCACGTTGTTGGTGTGTGTGCAGGGAGGCAATAATGCAGTTTTCCGGGTGCGGATTGGCGGGAGCGGGTGCGAGGCACAGCACAGCCTTCCGGTCTGACCGAATTGTGCCCAGTCGGATCGCGTTGTGAAGAGAAGTGGAGGCCCAGGAGCTTATCTAATTCTTCCTCCAGGGATGGGACGGATACACCGCGGATGGAGAGCACCTCCCTTAAAGTCGTCAGCGGGGTCCCAGGTCCCGGGGCGGTGCACCGCAGTCTTCTGCAGATGCCCTGCAGGTGCGAAAGAAACAGCGGCGTGGCTATGTGGCTGTGGAGCGGCAGCATCCGCCTGGCGACCCACCGAAACAGGTACCTCGACCCGACGCTTTCGGGTCCGAGTCGGGAGTTGAGGCTCCTCCACTGCCTGGCCATATCATGCGCTGTATTTGCGGGGATGGCAGGCCTGAGCCCCCTGTATTTATGCCGTCTTGCGGCTCAATCGCACCCCGGGTTCCTGCCTACCTGCCCTGAGCTGTGGCAGTGTTTCCGCTGACACCGCGCTGACGGCCGCCGCCTGTGGAAACGCTCTCCAGCAACTGCCCGCCTGCCTGTCTTCCATGTGCCTTCCATGTGTCTTCCAAAATAACTCACTTTGCACGCAACTCAGGGCATGCTTGCCGGCGGCGGGGCACAGTGACATTTCGTCGTGGTCGATCGCCGCCACTGCCCCTCCCCCTCCTTTAACGCACGCGACAAATTTTCCCGTCCAGGCGTCTGTCTGCCCACGTTGCGTGACTTTTACCAAGTTTCTTTTGCAACCCGAGTTCCCTGAATCGCCCGCGCTGCACAAAGACTGCCGGTGCTCGTCCTCGTCATCGCAATCGCAATTGCCCGGCCCCCTACCCCTGGCCTCGGACCTCATCCGCCGCTCCGCCTCCCCCGCGCGTCCTCCCGCCCTCGTCCCGTCTGGGCTCGCAGCATCCCGCTCGGTGCGTCGGTAGCCAAGCCCTGCCTCGCGGCCGCCGCCTCGAGTCCTCTCTTCCCTGCAACCCCGGCGCTCTTACGTCCTCCATCAGCCATGGCGCTCACGTCCCGCATCTCCCTCGTCGGCCCGCCCGCCGAGTCCCCGGAGGACTTTCTCATCAGCTCCCTGGGCGTCATCTTCCCCGACGACGTCACCAACCAGCACGGAGACGCCGACCACGGCATCGAGTACGCCTCCCCGCACCTCCGCAAGCCGCTGCGTTTCGACCTCGCCGAGCCCAGCGCCGACGACGACCGTAAGCTGTTCAGCCACTACCTGTGGAACGCGAGCCTCCAGCTGGGCGAGTTTGTCGAGGCTGGCACCCTCGGTCTGGACACCGTCAAGATCGATCTCGGCCCGCCCGTGTCGCATTTCAATGTCCGCGGCTTGACCACCATCGAGTTCGGAGCCGGCACCGCCCTGCCGAGCATCATGTCCGCGTTGCTGGGCGCCGTCCGCACCGCCGTGACCGACTACCCCGCCCCCGCCGTGCTCAAGACGCTCCGTGCCAATGCCGCCCGGAACATTGACGCCTCCGTCTCCCCCACCGGCGCCCTCACGGCGGAAGAAGTCCTGGTCGAGGGCCATTCCTGGGGCGAGCTGGACGACCCCTTCTCCGTCGCCAACAAGCACGCCTTCGACCGGGTTTTTGTCGCCGACTGCCTGTGGATGCCGTGGCAGCACGCAAACCTGCACAAGTCCATCGCCTGCTTCCTCCGGGACGGCCCCGACGCCCGCTGCTGGGTCGTCGCCGGCTTTCACACGGGCCGGCCCAAGATGCGCGGCTTCTTCGACGAGGCGGCGCTGGCCGAGGCCGGGCTGGAGATCGAGCGCATCTGGGAGCGAGACTGCGACGGCGTGGAGCGGGAGTGGGTGTGGGATCGCGGCATCGAAGACGTGACCATCCGGAAGCGCTGGCTGGTGTGTGGTGTCTTGAGGCGAAAGGCCTAGAAAACCAGACTGCGCAGCGTCGAGTGCATGACCCCTTCACTTATATTCTCTCTGCCCTCAAGAATCATCCAAGGCCAAGGCACACGCGCACCTCTCTCACCTCAGCTGAGCACGATTTCTCGGGGGAACTTTTGCTCTCGCAAGGTCAAGCGCCCGCACCATGACGGCTAGCTTCCTCGCAGAGCCCGCATCGTGCCCGAGCTGGCCCCGGTGCGGCTGAGCTGGAACCCGCCCCTTTCAGCTGCAATGGGCGCGGGTGCCGCTCCCGATTGGCCCCCTCGTCTCCAGGTGGCTTGACCCAACGATGTACTGGGCCCTTTTGGTCGAAACATGGCTCACCTCTGCTGCTGTGTGTGCTCTGCCGTGTAAGTAAGCAGTTTGGGGACAGACACCAACAAGGCCAAGGTATTTGAGTATTCTGAGTATTTGAGTATCGTGGTCGGCTACGGCCGAATCGGGCTGGCGGTCGATCGCCAACAGACAAAGTGCCACCACCCATCTGATATGGAATCTTTAAACCTCGATTCGGTTTTCCAAATGCCCTCGCTTCCCTTTTCCGCTGTCGACGTGGTGTTTATTTTGTGTGTGCATGTGTGCATTCATCCGTGCCGGTATCTCCCGTCGTTCCGAACTGCCGTCTAGGCCAAGCTCAACGCATTCTTCCTTTGCGGCTCCGTCATGTCCGCACCTCAGCCGCGCCCACTTACACGATTTAATGTACATTCTGGAGGTGAGGGTTGCGAGACATGTGCGTCATCAGATCACTAAGCCGGTCTGCACAACCAAGAACTTGGAGCTGAGAAGGCGAGCTACGCAAACTGCGTATAAACGAGTCTTTCTCGTCTTGACAGGGCATGTCATTGTCATGCCTACCGCTGGTGGCCTGGGAATGAGCGGAATGGTTTGTCTGGCGGGGGTGGTGCGTCGCGGGCCTTGGGTGAATGTGTTGGCAGAAACGGCTGGATAACTACTCATCTAGACGATGAGCATTTGTACCACGCCGGCATGGTGTCTCACGACGAACAGTCCGGCCACCCCCCGCATCCGTGGCCGGAGCGGACGGGTCCCGACGGCTGCCGTCAACCAGTTGCGCCATGGCGCGCTTTCGTATACCATACGGGACCGAGCCCTGTTCTCAATATCATTGTGTCGCTTGCTACCACTGAGTCTAAATGCCAAACTATGTACACGGCACGCTAATTCGGCGCCTCTATCGATGGTCCTTTCTCGTCCACCTTGACGATTAGATCGTGGTTCACGCGGAGGTTCTCCGCGGAGCTGAGCGCCTTGGTCACGGTCGTCTCGTGCCGCTCCTGCGTGATGCGGCGCAGCGCCGTGACGAGGAAGCCGGCGACGACGTCGACGGACCACTCGTCCGGGATGAGGGCCAGCACGTCTTCCACGTCGAACCAGCCGCCGAAGCGCTCGAGCAGCGCGCCCGTCTGCTCGATCTGGTCGCTGACGTCTTCAATCGCGAGGAACTCGCCCAGCACCGCGCGGAAGAGCCGCGCCTGCATGTCGTGGGTCGGCGTGCTCTCCCGCCTGCCGTCGGGACGCCTGTAAATGCTGGAGCCGCCGCGCAGACAGTACGAGACGGCCGTGTCGTAGTCCCCGAGCTTGTGCACGAGCAGCCGGATGGCGTCCTCGTGCCGTCGCTCACGCCCGTCCAGGATGATGGTCTCGGGGACGAGGAGCTCGTCTGGGAGGGCCGCGATGCGCTCCCTGATGGCTGCGGCGTCGTACTGGTGGGCCTCCCCGAGCAGGTGCAGCAACCGCAGGCGGCTGTGCCATACCTCGTTGTCCTCCGGCGCGTTATCCGTGAGGAACTGTCGGTAGGTCGGCTTGGGCGCCTGCAGTGCTCTGTACGCTGTGTATGTGCCGGCAAAGGCCTCTCGGCTTTCCGGGAACGACTCGAGATCGCTTATGACAATGTCCAGGTAGTATGCGATGAGATCGTTCACGTATTCCGTGTGCCCCTTGCCGAAGACGAGATGCTCGAGGTAGTACTTGACCGCGTCGGGCGCCTCTTCGCGGAGGATCTCCACGACATGCGCTGGCTCAAACTTGGCTGCCTTGCCCTTGTCCTCGGCGAACACCTGCACGCCCAGCTTGGGATTGCGGCTGGCAAGCCACACGCCATACTCGCGGACGAGGGCCTGGCTGCTAATCTTCGTGAGGTACTCGCGGACGCGCTGCTCGCCGTCGCTCAGCTCCCCGCCGTCGTCCCGCTCGCCCTCGACGATGCGGCGCCACGTCGCGAGCACGTCGCCCGCCATCTTTCGGCTCTGGTAC